GTTACTGAGAGCAAACTCTGATTTTACAATAGCACTTACTCCTGATGCAAAATAAGCCATAAGGAAACTGCTTGATTTTGCCATTTTACAGGATCTTTTGTCAGAGAGCACTACACAAAAGTGCTAGTTGCATGCAAGACAGTGCTATTTCTTTCTTTAATTTTTTTTTTAATAGGGTAAATTCACAATATTATTTCCTTATTTTACTATTTGTTTCATAATGCAAGGATCTCATGAGCCAATCTTAGCATCTTCACAATAGGTAAACTTTCAGTGGCACAGAAGGACACTTTGTACTTGTTTTGTTACAGCACGTTTGAAGACTTCAGAATCTTGAGCCTTCACTGAAAGAATTAAGTAAGAATGATAAAGTGAGAACATCACATTGATTCTTATTTTAGTCACAACGTTTGTTTCTTTATGTGCCCGCTGGCATGGCCAGACACTGGATAAATTACAGGTTTAAAAGCAATTTGGTATTTATCCAGGCGATGGTCATTAGCAGAGGTCTTAGTGTCAGATTTATTTAGTGTAAAATATTGAAGCATAGGCCTCAAATTTGGTGACCAGCTGGGGCAGGATAGAAACAATAAATGCATGTGCACAAAACTTTCTCCCCTTCCCTGTCACCGGTCAGCAACAGGAAGAATAGGCCTTATGTTGCAGCTACTTCTAACGCTTCATTAAGAGAAGATTGTTGGTCTTACCAGGAAACAGCAGATGAGAAATAAGTTGTCTTTTGTGTGTTACAGCAGTACGTAGTAGTATGCCATCAGAAACAGCAAGAGGATTTTAGCAATGATGCTGCTTTATTCTCCAAGTCAGTCATGTTTCACAAAGGAACTGTGGGCTTTAGGCATAAGACACTGAGCATTGAAATAATTGATAAGCAATATTGCTTACTCAAGAAAACTGTCAAAATATCAGCCATTCCATGATGGCATACTGAAACTCTAATAGCCAACTGTTTTATCTTCTAAAAAAAGTATAAGCTGAAATTTTTTTCCCCAGAGCTCAGATTTATGCAAAGGGCAAATTTCAAAGTTGTGTTCCATAATTTGCATGTACCGAAATTTCTCAGGAAAATCAGACACAGCCAGTGTAGACAAAAAATATTTTTCCTGTTCTTGTTCTCAAAAGTGGCTAAAACACTTTACTGAAACTTAGGGAAAAAGGAAAATCTAATAATAAATACTTAAATTGTCAGCAAAAATATAAAGAATTGAAAACGACATCATTCAGTGGAAGGCATAACTTTTAGCTATGTTAGCAGCTGCTTGCAACAGGTTCCTATTACCGGCATTAGGAAAGCGCATAATCTGCTTTTTTCCTGTTCCAGATCCATTTTGTTTTGTTATTTGAAAACCCGCAAGCATTTTTTTACTAGTTCCTTGGACACTGAAGTTTGATTTCTGTTTTAAATTAAATTGCAGTCCTTTAATGAAATGAAAAAAAAAAAATTATGGAAAGAACGCATCTCTGCATTACAGAAATATGAACAGGATATTAACATAGCTTAAAATTCTGGATAGATTCCACTGCCCACACTGCTGCACCGTGCACATACCCACAGTCTCTTCAAAGAACGAGACAGGGCAGACAATTAACTTCCTGAGTGTTAATGGGCAAAAGAAGTTCTTAATTTCTACATTACACTTTTAACGAAGTCAGTAGGTGACTACAGCAGGCTTTTGCCAATTAGATTTCAAAATTACTCAGTTTGTGGTAGTTTGGTGGGGTTTTTTTAAGTTTGCAATTTGAACTAGTTTGATAAATATTACTAAGGAGCCTTCAGCATCTTCACCTTGTACAGATCATCTAATATTTTTAAATACCCATTCTATGGAGGGAAATAGAGTGATCAGATTTTAGGATTAAAAAAAATCATTGAAGATTTACTGGCTTGTTTAGGTATAGTTTTGATCTGATTCTTATCAACATAACTTATTTTACTGTCGTAGCACTGAAGAACTGTGGTTAGCAACCAGGTACCCATAAACAGCTTCAGACAAGAGACAACAGATGGATAGAGAAAAATCCTAGGAAACAATGGTATGACTTAATTTTTCAACAAACCTACAGCTTACTTATTTTTGAGGGTTGTTTGGGTTTTTAAAATGTATTTATTGGGATGCCCTAGGTACTTTGAGAAAGGAGAAGAAAAAAAAAAAAAGTTTTTGTGTCAAGCATTAGGGAAATCTGATGTTCGCTTATATCTCCTTCTTAAATATTTTCTTTAAAGGTATACTGTCTTCAATGTAACAGCACACAACTGCCATTGAAAAAAAACAACAGTTACTTTGTACCTTTGTAAATTTCAAAATCCCACTTTTATTTTAAACACAAGTTGACAGACAATCGATAGGAATGATTTCCACTTACAGAAATGGAATCTTTCTTTGCATTTAAAGAAATCATCTTTTCTTATTTAATTGCCTTTTCCATGTGCCCTTGTGCTTTGGTTTTAGCCAGCTGCTAGAAAGCTGAAGTGTTGCCAAAGAGCATATTTTTGCATTTTATCTGGCCCGCACAGATTTAGGAAATACCAGCACTTGCACTAAGTCTGTTCTCATGAGAGAGCTAGCACAAGTTTGCAAATCAAAGAGCTTATAATAAGCATCTAAACATTTGTTTGTTTATTCAAACTGCTAAAACTCGGGGAGCTGGGTCACCTACTATTAAATTTGAATTTCCTCCTTATTTCTAATGGGAAGCCTGGACAACTTAATGCACCATCTCAGACAAAGGAGTTGGAGAAGGTTACACTGTAGCTGCCTGTACTGTGTCTGAAGAGGAACAATTTCAGCTCTGTCTCTCCTTAAAAGCATCCCTGTTAAATTAGCTGAAAATCTGCAACTACATTTAACAAATGCATTTGCAGCTGTTGGGATACTGCTTAAGCATAAGGTCTTACAAATAATGGTCCTTCCCTGAAAACCCTAATCTTTTACTAAATGTTGAAATGTAAGGTGTAGTGTGGTATCTGGTGCTTTCTTGTATCTTGAGTGCTTTCTTGATAATCAGTTGCATATAATTTTTTTTTTATCTAGGTTTAATCAGCTTTATTACCCTTCTTTTACTAGAGATGTAAATTATATGTGGGTTTGATCTAAGATTATTGATATTGTTATGTATTGTGGGGTTTTTTTTAATTTAATGTAATAGCATTTCTTCATGTTTCAATTTGTAAAATACAAGAATATATAATTGCAAAGTATAAACTTTCACTAAATTATATTACAGAGGTGCTTTAAGAAAAATATGTAAATTATTTAATTTAAATATTTGTTACATACTTTATCTTGTGAACCCTTTTGTACAGTGAGGAAAAATTTACTTTTATGGGGTAAGGATGATGGGCCTGAAGTCAAAGACAAACTGCTATTTATTCCCGTCTGGTCTTTATTACTGTGTAATTTGTGAAGAAGTATCACAAATTCTGCAACTTATCAGTGTTTGGTATTGACAACTGTAATACAATTTTAAAATATATTTTCACATAGAACATAGACTTCCTTTTATTTAATTACAATAAAAGTAAGTCTAGGTGAGGAAGAGCTGTAATCCCAAAATCGAGTTAATATTTCTAACATTTTAATTCAAATTCGCCAATATGAAAGACCGCTTATAGAACTAAGTTCATCTTTGTTTTACAGCATGGTTATTCATTTTCCTTAAATCTGAAAAGAGAGCTAAAAAGAGCTACACTCTATTAGTACTCTGTTACTGATGTTTTCTGAGGAACTGAGTTGTGGCTTCCTAGAAATAACAATGTGTATTCAGGATTACTTCCTGCTGCTTGCACTGAGGTCAATCTACAGTTTTTATAAATTTATTTTAAAACATGTAATTTGGCAGCGCAAAACAAAATGTTGAAATGCCTTTATTGGCTTTTCTATCGGAGTGTTCCCTTTATGGTTTTAAGTAGAGATGAATTCAGAATCTGTTCATGGGGATTCTGTGTCCTGTGATTCAGGTGCGACAATCTGTGCCTACAGCATTCCTGCTAAAAAATCCTGATATAGGAACAAAGTTACCTTTTATTTTGCTGTAGTTAAAATATAGCCTCTAGTACAAGCACGGCATTACAAATGTTCCGGCAATGATTGATACTTACTGCGTTTTATTTGGAATACATACAATTTTATTGCCCAAAATTGCTGCAAATTGAATTTTCACTTGATCAATGTCTCCATACAGGTATATTGTCTACTAAGATGGTTGTGTCATATTCGTAAAATCTCTCCTGGACTTTCTTGGGGTAGCCTACAGCTACTTCTTGTCTCAATTTCATAGGCAGCGATGAAAAAAAACCTGTAAAAGGTACTAACAGATATGTCACTTTACACTGTAAATATGTGATACAAATTCATTGTTAACTAAACCCATCCTAGGGCAAAGGTTTTTCCTCTTTTGTGTTCTGTAATGTGCTTACAGGTTTTTTAAATATTTTTTGGCTTCTGAAGCTCTTTTGGTTGGGTTTTTTTTTTTCTTGAACTCTTTTTTATTGTGTTAATCTATCACAAGGATGTTTCAAAACAGATATCCTATTGCAAGGACCTCAATTTCAGATGAGTTGCCTCTGCCCAGGGGATAGGCTGCATACACAAAAGAGATTAATCTGATTACAGGACGGGCCTTAAATAAGGACTGCAAGATCAGGCATAAGATACTTAGAGTTGTTTTAAGTATTTTGGTATATTTTCTCAGGTTGGATATGCAGGTACAGTAATTCCTATTGTGGAAAAGACACCAGCCTTACGATCAATGCAAGAAGTTTCACGGCATTCTTGAAAGAAAAAAAACCATTGGTGGAAAAATACTAACCAACCAAAATACTGGCAACATGCAAGTAGTATGTTCTACTCCTACTGCGTAGGAGGGCAGTATAATCATTCAAAATCTGTTTGTGACGTGCCAACGGGAACTGTAAGAAGGTTAGCAAATCTTCTGGCGCATGATTCATATGCAAACAACCATGTAGAGTGATGTTAAAATCCTCACTTCGTTACCTCTGGCACATTCAGATCCTCCAGGTATATTTTGCCACATGGTAGCACAGGGTTGCCTTCGGGGAGACACAGTGCCTTTGCCCTCCTGTTAGTAACAGAGTTGTTGGCGGTGCCGTGTGCGTATTCAGACACCGAGGTACCTATGGTGCTCACCATTAGCACTGTTTGGCAGACGGTTACCGAGCAGATTCCTATGGCTCTTTTGCTGGTGGCTTTTGTGCAGATAGCGGGAGGGAGCTGCTTCTGATCAAATCGTTCATCCCTCTCCCCTGGCAAATGGATCCTGCGGGATAGTTGGATATGTGAAGCTATGGCTCCATCTCAGTAGCCACAAATACTTTTCTCTGGTTTCAGAAGTGGAAGAACATTTATGACTTTGGTTATTTCTTGAATAATAACAAATCTAATCAAGGTTTTAGTAGTACGGATTTTAACAAAAAAAAAAAAAACCCTCTTCACTGTTTGACAAAGTCTGTTTTATCAGCTTCTCGGATGAGCTGCATTTCATATTGCTCCTGCTATTTCACAGCTTTTACAACAATTGCTCTGAATTTGCTTTAGGAACGTAACACAACAGTTTAATTACATCATGATGTTAAACCCCTTTATCACATCTTAAATTGTCTGTTATCTGATATGACACAAAAAAGCACATTTTTGTTAATGTTGCCAAACCCTAATCACTAGAGCTAACAAGTGCTTAATTAAATCAAGATATCAATATTAAAGAGGGGAAAAAAAATATTATTCCCAGTCACCTATGTTTTTAGGAATCTTTGGGTACGTTTTACTACAGTAAATAATGGAACTTACAAGAGCAGACATTTCTTGCAGGGAGTAGTCAAACCTAATTCTCTTGGAATGCTTGTTTCCCAGTAAAATACCACTAATTTAAGCCAAATTCCCAAGTTTCTTTCTGTCAGAACAATGCAAATGTCATTTTCAAGAAAGAATGGAAACCCTGGTCTCACAGGGATTTATAGGAAAGACAGTCTCTTGGACTTGTGAATGTAAAAATTACATATAGCTAAATATGATGATGCATTCTCAAATGTTACCAGCCTACTGATCTAGGATGAAAAAAACTTGAACTAAACATTTTTCTTCTTTTTTACGTTCTGATTTTTTTTCTATCATCTCCTTTAAAAATAAGAGGTTGAATTCATACTGTTTGTATAGAGACTGGTAGGAACCTATGTGCTTTAAAAAGAAAGAAAAGTCATCCTTTAAGATTGAATGTAAATACAGTTAATTGGAAATATGTTTTTGCCTTAATGGTTTAAAAAAAAATAAAGTATTTTTAAAAGTGAATTTAATGACTCGTGCTGATCTTTTGTTTCCAGGAAAGTAATTCACGGTAATGTCATGGTTTTGAGACAAACATACTTGTTACCCTCTGCTGGCTGCCTCTAGTACGTTACCCAAAGCAGCTGCCAAGTCTTAACTGTGTCCCTCATTCAGTGACCGTGCACGCATGAATAACTTTTATGTCCACGAAAGTAGTTCTGTTCTGTGCTCTTGTACAACTGCTCACGGTCTCAACTGATAGCTTGCATAAACACTTGAAGAATCAGGACCTGGGCACCGCGTGGTGGTGGCACATCTGGGAACGGTGATGCCTGTTGCTCCTTCCACGATAGTACCAGTGCACAAACGTGTGTTTTGTGCTGCTCCACTGTAATTAAGACCTTGAATGATTTTGCCCTAACCTGATTTGCCTTAATTTGGTATACAAAGCCCTGCTTCAGAAAACATTTAGCTGCTTAACTTTATACCGGGGAGCAATCGTGCTGATTTTAGTAGTGCACAGGAGTGGATAAGCAACTTTGGTGGGACTGGTGCCCAGATTTTTTGGGTTAGCATCAAATATCTGTTAACAAATTATATTAAGTATGTTTACTACATAATAAGATGTGTGTATTGCAAGGATCTTTTTTAAGATTGAATGGTATTTAAAGCATCTTTAAAGTGCTGATTAACTGTTAGACACACCTTTTAAATTGGGAATGTATGTGTAACATACATATATACATTGCACATATATTTTTATATATGTATTTTATCAGTTTGTCTGCTGACCCGCTGTCCTGCTGTGTCCATCCACTCTCATTGACTGTATGACCAGCTTGAGACATTTGCTGAATTCAACAAGCATTGAATGCACTTTTACGTGAAGTGAGCATGCTATCTAATTTGATTAGCATGGCTTCAATCAAATCAGTTGGGAGGACATGTCACAGGGAATTGTTTTCCTTCAAGAACCTGGGGATTTATTAAGCCGGTAAAAGAGTGCTGAAGAAAAATTACAACAAAGGGTAAAGAATCATACTTCTTCCTCAGCTGTGCTCAGGAGCATTGAGGGCCTGATTTTGAGCCACAGAAAGTACTTGTGGAACCTAATGAAACCAAACTGTAAAGGCTTTGCGTATCTTGGAGAGTAGATCTCATGGCTGGTAGGTTTGGGCATGATGGCATTTGGTCTGTGAAATCACATATACACCAAAACATTATGAGAGAGAGACCATAATCCCCATGTTCAATGGGAATATGAGAATGTGGCATACACAGGTTTTAACAGCCGGGCACAGATAATAATCCTTCGTCATCCCAGGAAATACCAAACTGCTAACTTTCCCTAAAGCATGGAGCAGAGGTGACAGAACACACCTGATGACCCTGGGCTACGGAACCACATTGTGGTACTCACTGGAAGTGTGCTTTCCTTCACTTAAAAGGTACGTGTGACGAGGTAACTGGGAAACACAGGTATCCTTACTTGGCTTTTTCTGTTGCACTCTAGCTAAATAAATGAGCTGTACTGGGCCAAATTAAAAATCCTGTAGTTACAGATTCTGCTCTCTCTTAATACTGAGCCTACTCCCCCTCTGGTTCAACTCAATAAGTACTTAAAGGGTAGGGTCATTGCTGAGGGCTTTAAATGATTCTTCTAGCATCGCAGGATGGCAAAGATAACGATTACGAATAAATCTGTTAACTGTGTTTTTCTTAAGGGCAAGAGGAGGTTGAACGGAGGGGAAAACAGCTCAGAGACACTAGATCCTTCCCAGCACGCTGGTGGGTGCATCTCCCAGTCCCAAGACAGGCCTGTGTGCCATACAGCCCAAAGGCACATTCTCATTTAGAGAGGAACTGCAATAACGAGGCTTCTAAAACCTACTTTCAAGCTAAGAGTTAAGATACAACCTGTTGCAAACAATGTGAGATAAAATGTTTTAGAAAGATGTTTGCTGGTATAAACATAGAATGTGATCTCGCATAATGATGTTGCTTTTGTTCAGCTTGCTTATTAATGACTACAATTTTAAGATGGAAAAGTGCTGTGATTCTCTTTCTAGCATCTCTTACCGTTGTTAGAGTTCTGTTTCATAGCATAGGATATGCCTGTTATTTGTACAGAGGAGACACACTACAACTTTTAAAGTGGATGGGTAGGTGGGTGTCTAACATGAAACTGCAATTTAATACCGCCCATTGTAAATAAGTTTCATATGCATTTCTTTGAAAGCTTAGTTTCTCGCTACTACAGAAAGGAATCTAAAATGTTGGCTTCCAACATGCATCTTTTCTTTTTGTTTTTTGGCAATTAAAGATGTGGATGTATTTTACGTCTTAAAGCGTCTAAAGCTTGAAAAAGGTAATGATAGGTCCATTATCATCTACCTGGACTTGTGCAAAGCGTTTGACGCTGACCCGCGCAATATCCTGATCTCTAAATTGGAGAGACACGGATTCAACAGATGGACCACTCTGTGGGTAAGGAACTGGCTAGACGGTCACACTCAAAGAGGTGCAGTCAACAGCTCAATATCCAAGTGGAGACCAGTTACGAGTGGTGTTCCTCAGGGGTCAGTACTGGGACCGGTGCTGTCCAACACTGTTGGTGACACAGACACTGGAATCAAGTGCACCCTCAGCAAGTTTGCCGATGGGGCTCTGAGCAACCTGTCTAGCGGAAGGTGTCCCTGCCCATAGCAGGGAGCCTGGAACTAGATGATCTTCAAGGTCCCTTCCAACCTAAACCATCCTATGATTCTAGTAACTGCAATGAATTCCAGTCCCCAACAGGGGACACCAATATACTAGGTTCAGAAAAAAAAGAAAAGAAAGATTTTAGGATGCTCAAATGTCCTAAAGAACTAAAAATAACTCATTGGAATCACACTGATTTCTTTTAACAGACACATGGTTCATTCTACTAAAATGATCAGGTTTTGATGCTGACATACAATACAGATGGAAGAGTTGAGAAAAGAGATGTTAACCCAGGTATTAACAGGTTCTGAACCAACGACCAACAAAAGCTTAAATAAATAACATGATTTGGTGATTAGGGAGCATTCTAGACATATCCTTAAGGTGTGTGACTAAATGGTTTTATTATAAATGCCACCTAAATCTTCCTTGTAACTAAGACAAAGTCAACACAGATAACTGAGAGGCTAATTTTTGAACTAAAACCCATCCTGTTTCCCTAATTATTTTTTACCCTTTTTTGACTGAAACTATGTTTCTGAAATCCCTGTTCTAGCTGTAGTTAAATTGCCCAGTTCAAGAAAAGAATTGGGCTTATTAACTGAACTATTCTATTTCCAGATTAACTGATGTGAAAATGAAAAGGAAGTAATTTTTATTTGTAACGCACAAACTAGACATATTAAGGGTCTTTAACCTCTCCTACTGTTGTATTGACAGTGACTGGAAGACTGAGTGGAAAGTGACTGCAAATGCAAGTGACTTGTAAGTATAATTTTTTTTTTAATTTATTTTTAGTGTATTGGTATTTTATTATAAGAGCACCTACCTTCGGAACTCTTAACACTGTGATAGTATTGGGATTATAATCTTGAAGAATCTAGGTATTTCTGTGGACATCTGCGACATTTTCTCGTAACAGTTTTATTTTAGACTTAAAAGTAAAGCTTTGAATTCCTTGCCTACTGTAATCTTATCAGGACAGCACTGTCAGGTTAACAATTGCTGCATACTAACTTTCTTGGATGTATACTAAATTAAGACAGATAAATCTTTCTCGGATTTTCATGACACTGTAGGAGTGTCAAGAACAACACAAAACATTAAAATAACAAAGGTGAAAATTCGGATACGGCTCATATGTATTACACTGTTCAGTTTTTTACAACGTGCATTCTACATGGTGACAGCAGGCTTGTCTGTCTTTCTTTCTGGCTCTTCAACACCTTAAGGCTGTACTGCTGGCACAGCAATCGCTGCATGATGACGTTTGAAGCCAAGCCAATTGTCAGGAAATGTGTTACTGTGTTCTGTAGTAGTGAGCTGATGAAGGTCACCTCTTTAAAAGGAGCAATATGATAGTCTCCAAAAGGAGTGAGGAGAAATCCCAGCCAAAGAACTGTCTCTCTTGGTCCTTCGGTATTTACATTCTTGTATCGCCTTTTTTACAGGGGAAGGATTTTTGTTGGGGCTTCCTTTTATCCATATCTTCTTGTATTTCCAAAGGAAAGGCCTTTAGGTTTTCATTCACACAGGGGAGGCAGAACCTTTTGGAGTAGAACAGACTACATTCCTGTAAAAAAAAAACCAAAACACCAATATTATTAGCAGGATACACAAAATGGAACTGCTTAAGTTCCAGTCTCATTAAACCACATTTATATTTAGAATTCTTCTAAATTACATTCTTCTTTTAAGTTGAAATATTCCAGCAATTTGGCTTCTTCCTATTCAATAATTCTAACATCTGGTTAGAGCTAATGGGATGAAAAATAAAAACTGGGTCTGTAACAATCACTAACCAAATCAACTATCGTGTTGCTCCTTTTAAAGGCGTGACCTTCATCAGATCACTGTTACAGAGAACAGTAACACATTCCCCTACAACTGGCTTGTCCTTCAAGCATCATTCATGGTTCTCCTGGCGTGATCACTAAATTCCAAACAGGATTTAATGGGTAAGCTGGAGCTGCTGTTGCTGATGGATTATTCTTGGAGAGTTAAACATGAATAAAGGCATCAGCACAGATAGATCACAATGTCTTTCTGGGTGTAATGGATTCCATGGGTTTTACCTAAATAGCAAAGTTTTCCTCTAAAAGATTTCATCTATTTAACCACCTTTACCTTGAATAAATGTACTCGCTGATTAAAAACATACATGGTACTAAAGGTTGAGCTGATGTCTCCTCTCTGAATTCTTGATGGCAAAGTATAAAAGCTGCTGTGCACAGAGAAGGTACTTCCCCTGCCCTTGAAATGGAATGACACTATGATCTGACATGTTTTGTTCACGGTTGATTTGCTTAGCAAGTGTTACAAACCCAATATTTATTTTTCACCCACTTAGCGCTAACCAGATGTTAGTTATTGATTAGGAAGAAGCAAAACTGATGGAATATTTTAATCTATTTGCAGTAGAGAGTTTGGACAACTGGAAGAGAAGCTTATTAATGTATTATTCCTTTGCCCTGCAGTGAGACTGAAGCCCATGGTTCTCCTGGCATGCTGACCACTAAATTCCAAATAGGATTTTATGGGTAAGCTGGAGCTTGTATTGCTGATGGATTATTCTTGGGGATTTAAGCATGAATAAAGACATCAGTTCAGACGGATCAGGACATCTTCTTGGGAGTAATGGATTCCATGCGTTTTACCTAAATAGCAAAATTTTCCTCTTGCCATGGTCATTTGTGGCTGGCCTTTCTGTGGGGGCTTTGGCTTGGATATTTCTACGTTTCTCTTCTTGCTTTTGTTTCCCATGTCACTATCTGGACTTTAGCAGCAGATGATTATATCAAAAATCACAATCAGCCTGCCTCCATGTGAATTTCAAGCCCGAGGAACAACTTCTCTTCATCTTTTGTCCTTTTCTGCACCGACTGCCAGGCCTCTTCGCATTCAGAGCTAGTGTGAAGCCTTGGTCTCTGAAAAGCCCTGAAACTGGATTTCAGTTGCACAACCTGCAGAGCCTATTGTTTTTTGTCTTTTAGTATCCTTAATACTTTAAGCTGCCAATTAAAAAGGGAAGATTAGAGTTTAACTTGGCCCTGTTACTCTTGTTGGTATTGCAAAATGGCACACAGCCCATCCCCCACCTCCAGGTTAAGTTCATGGCTCCACAGCGATGGACGCTGCACCACAGGCTGCTACTGGACAATGGTAAAAGAGGGCAGAGGCTTTTCCCCTGTTGTGCAGATGGGGAACTCTGACTTTAAGATGTAGCTCCTTACAGATACACAGGTGCTCAATTTACATTCTTTCAGCTGAAATGAGTTGCCAACTTTTACTGATTTTGGCCCGTGGGGCTTACGCAAATCATGAACATGAACCATTGCGCATCTGGGCGCTGGTTCCGTGTACCCTTAGACCTCCTCTCTCAGTCATGGGATTATTCAGCCTAGCTGTTGCTTTAACAAATTACACTTATTAGGTACAGTCAAGCCCTTCCTTGACCATTATCCTGAGAGGGTTCTAGAATGAACTGGATAATTCTGTACCATGTTCTACTCTTTCCATGACCAAGGCGGGGGGTGGGGAGAGGGCAGGCATTTCAATTTCAAACTTTATAGTAAAATTTAGGCAAAACTGAGCTGCCAAAGCATACTGCCAGTGTTTATTTCTCTTTTCACACAGATCGTATCTGAAAGTAATACATACAGGGATATTATCTTTACCATACTTGTAAAGGAAACTCTATGTAAAGGAAAAGTTCCACCTAACCATGTCCAGGATTGACCTCGCATGACTGGACATTGAGTGGAAAGTAGCTGTAGTATTACGTTTATCACTTAATACCTACAACCACGTCCAAGGTCAGTGTTTAGTCACCTTCTGCTGAGGTGTGCAATAAGGGATGAAACTTGCTCCCTTTCCTCCTTTCTGTTCCAAAAGCCACGTCTTTTTTTTTTTTTTTCCTCCTATGTTTAGTAAGTGTTGCAATTAAAAAGAAATAACTTTTAAATGACTAATATGGTCAGATTATATCATTTCCTCTCCCCTTTTCAGAAAGGGAAACAGGAAGAAGGGCACTAAACCTTCCTAAAGACTTTTTAAAAGCATTTTTATTACCTTCGTTTCTGTGGGATTTTGACATGTTTTAAGACGTTACTGATAATCATTAGAGTTATTTCTAGTTGAACTGGAAATAATGGTGCTTACCAACACACTGTGCTAAAGATTGTTTCAGTAGGGTGACTGGAATAAATTAACCAAGTGAGACTTAAGAGAAAATTTTAAGAAGTGAGTTTATAAGCATTATACAGAGCGGTTGCTAAGTCTTGACTTTCATTGGCACAGCAACTGTAGTTACTTGACTTTCATTGTAGCAGCAACTGCAAGACCCTTCAGCTAGCACGGGTTGTCTCATGAAAAGCCTAAAATCTGCTCTGTATCTAAGCCTCCTTACATACAAAAGCTGGCAAATTAAATCCAAGCCCTTTGCCAAATCTAAGGTCAGAAAAGTCTTAATTTTGCCACAGATTAGTCTAGTACTATTTTGAATTGACATCAAAATGAAAGCAACCTGTCACTGAAAACTTTCAATCAAATTGGTCCAGCTTCTTTGCCAAGAGGCCCAAGAAAGCATGATTTTCTTCAGCTTCAATTCTTATGTTATAACATTATGGAAACACTCAGTGTAGAGCTGAGTTGATCTACTTGGGTCAAGCACAAGCAGGAACCAAAACCAATCCACAGAGATATTATCCTAACTTTGGCTCTCTCTGCTGCCTTGCATAAGTTTTTACTTCTCTGGTCTTTTAATTTACCCTACATGAAAGAGGAATAGTATGTGTTTACCTACTTTGTGGTGTGGGTGTTTAAAGCACTAATTATCATTTCTGCAGATCTCTTTCAACGTTACTTAAGCAGTATTGCTAAATACATTTTGAAACCATAGTCATATGTGTGATTCACTATCTGGCCTGGCCAGTTTGGTAAGAAATTTATTCTCAATTATTTACAATCAAGGTTTTGCTTTGAGTGATACCATCAGGGGAATCTTGAAGACTCAGATAACAATAAGTAAATGATTGACATATTTCCACAATAGCCAAAATAGGCAGGAATGTCAAAAAGATTAGAAGAGGCTTCTGCTAGCTCACTGCTAATATCTTCTTACATTGTTATGCCCTAGATTAGCTGAACAATTATTAAATCTTTTAAAAGAAAAAGCCCCACCGTCATTCAGAAACGCACATTGTGTGGAAAGATACTGAGAGGCTGAAACTCTGTATTTGTGACAGATTTAACTGGCAGACTTGGAAATGTCCATTGAATCCTTCATAAATTCAAGACACTTCATTTGGGAATGAAAATAGCTAACTGTGCTCAAGTTTGCCCAAAATGTGTCTGAGTTGCTAATCCTCTGCTGTTAAAAAGGAAGGATAAACCTGACATGTCAGGGCAGGAATCAAGCTCATAAGCCCAAACTACCTGACTAGCTGCACTTGCCTCTTCCTCTGGCTGCGTGTGGGAGTGAGTCAACTGCCAACCAAGATGAGGACATTGTCACTACGGAGATCTTGCTCACATGTGAGCTTTGCCTCAAGCTACTTGGCTCTGGAAACTTTAGCTCAGCTATCAAAGACGTAACCAGAGAGCACTGGTACTTCATCTGACTCTCAGGTAGTCCTCAGGTAGTTCCAGAAAAGAAAAAAAAATAATCTCAGCTGCCTTCTCTAGTCTGACCTTTTGGTGATTTTCTTTCATTTAAATGACAGAAGAAACTTCAGAAACAGGAAATAAACCCAATCAGGAGAAAGGTGTAACTGCACGCTCCTCTTAGGACAGTGGACAAATTCATCCTTGGTGTGAACTCCCTGCAAGTCAGAATAGCAGCTAAACTTGTCCAAGGGTGCTGATTTCCTTTTGGATGTGTCTGTCCAAGCCTCTACATTTTGTCAGTGTAATTTGACCCTTTGTTTTGCTCAAGGGAATTTCCTCAAGTCCCCACGCAGAAACTGTCTGGCATTGGCATACGAGTTGTCTCAGTCTCTCCGATTATCTCACCTCATGCTCTGAGGAGGCCAGAGGTGTTACTTTGTCCCACCAGCACTATAACTGGCCACCAACATCATTAAAAAAAATAAAAAAATCTACATCTTCATAAAGTCTTTCACCAGAACTATAACTGGCCACTAAACATCATGAAAAAAAAAAAATCTACATCTTCATAAAGTCTTTAACAGGTCCATCTGTTTTAAAACTCCTGCTACTAGCTACTTCAACAGAATCACAGAATCTGATCGGTCAGATGGTCAGGGTTGGAAGGAACCTCTGGAGATCATCTAGTCCAACCCCCCTGCCAGAGCAGGGTCACCTACAGCAGGCTGCACAAGACGGCGTCCAGACAGGTTTTTAATGTCTCCAAAATGGGAGACTCCACAACCTCTCTGGGCAGCCCTTTCCAGTGCTCTGCCACCCTCAAAGTAAAGAAGTCCCTCCTCATGTTTAGGAGGAGCTTCAGTAAGGATCATGTCACTGGAGCTGGCCCCTAACCACTGTAATGAGAGAATGGGCTGAAAAGGTTGAATTTGGAAATTGCTAAAGATGAAACTTAAGACCAAGGTGTGCTCTCACACATGCTATTAGCTGCACTCTAAATTTAAGCATGTTACTCTAGGATAGCAAATGACCACTTTGAAAGAGAAGGCTGGGATCCGGCTGCTATAAGGGCACTGGTGTCTGGTGCAACAAATACATGCCATTGTCCATGTAAATAATCAGGTGACGTCTCCTCATGGGTTGAGTCATGGTTGAGTCCTGACTACTGCATGAGTCCCAAGTCTCTTTCAACCACAGAAGTGGCTTGCCAAGGGAAAGGAGTGGAACCTAAGTTTTCTCAACTCATTCTACTGCCTCAAAGCGGCACAGTACAGCCTCCAGACACTGACAACTGTGTAATAACTTGTCTTCATTTTTGCTTTGAACTCACAGCAAACAAAGGGACCAGTTCTGCACTGAGGAGAAGGAATTAAAGCAACTGTAATTTTACACCACCTTTTTGGACTGCACTCAGATTTCATAGCTTAAGGTTGCCTGCCAGCTGCTACTCAAATTTGTTCTTCTTCAGAGAGCTATCACAGCATTACACAACTCCCCTCCCTGCTTGCTTTCTTTCTCACTTAGCTTTTGCAACTAGGATGGTAGCCCTGTGCTGTGGATGCAAACCATGGATGTTTATACCCCCTTTACAGAAAAAAAAATTTAAAAAAATCTACTGTTGGCATATTACAATTGACCCAACCTTAAAGGTCTTGAAGTGATATGTGATTTCCCTTGCATTTTCACATGCTGAGAAAGTGGGAAAAAGCACTCATTGTGTTTGTGAGGCTGGAACGTGCTTATCTGTAAACAGAACACTTGAAGTTGCTGATCATTTTCATTTAATACAAAGAGCTTTATCTGGGGGAATCAACAAGAACATAAAATTAGCTTGCCTTAAAAACAGGCTGTTTGGGTTTTTGCTGTTTGGTCTTTCTCTAACAGGTCACCAGGACTGTAACAAAAAGAAATGATCGAAGAAGCTTCTTTTGCTTGTTACTTACGGTACCAACGCACACTGATCTGCTACACAAACTGCAATGAGACCCAAGGATGAGGAATTTGTCCTTGTCAGGGGTGAAAGGATCCTTCATGACATAGCTTTCTTCCAAAAGCCTACAAGAGAATAATTTCAGGCTTTTAAGGGTAGATTTCACAGTAGGGGAGAGTTGAAATGGGGAAATTACAGAGCGTGAAAAGGTATCAGCCCTTTCTACTTGATTTGCACGGCCTGGTGTTGTACATGAGGCAAAGTAGCAGCTATGCAGCTCCCTTCCTCTTCAAAACCAACACTGTGGCTGCCTTCAGTCCTATACTGCACTTTCTATCTGTCTTCCAAAATTAGGGCAATTGGTGATCCTCTCAACATTATCTTACTAGGTTTTTCCCAGCTGTCTACCTTAAAGTATTTTTTTGCCTTCCCTTTTTATAACAGGCCCTCCTTAGCATGGCTGACTTTAGTACCTTCTCAAGTTATCATTTCAATTGCAAAGCTTTTAATTAGAAATTCTCTTCCAAAGCTGCATACATGTGAGCATAAAATAAAAAGGTTATGTCACTGCTGTAAAGCTAAGGTTCCCACCTCTTGCAAGCAGGAGCTGCTAGCACAGAGCATTACAATGACCTGAAATATGCTTACTTTATGTCACAGACTGTACTGTTCGCTTCAGGGTATTAAAGGAGTGCATTTATTAATAATTTGGCAACCTGCTTGGGAAAGACTAAGGCCTTATTCTTCCTGGGAGCTCCAGGCAAAATATTACAGAAGTCAGTTGGGTGTCTGTCCACACAGGGCACCCTGCAAGGCTGGCTTATTCTTGGACTTAAATCAAACTTGGATTCTGTAGTAATAATGGAATACAATACATATTTAAAAGGTATTCTGTTAACTCATACTGCCTTCGCCTTGTCTACATACACACGCATACATGAGTGTATTTCACACATCTGAAAGTGTATTCCTTTTTCCTTTTCCACTCTACTCAAACAGAAAATGGTATGGCTCAAGTCTTCCACTGTTAGGAAAGATCAGGCGTCTTAACATGGCAGATCACCTCGTCAACAAGTCTCCTGGTGTACAAATACTGGATTACCTTTGCAAAGCTCCCCTTTCAAGATTCACAGTCTTAATGTAGTCATCATCAGTGCAGAGACCTGGCCATTACACAAGCCTTCATGTCTGGCATATGTTTCCTGCAGCGATACATTTAGGACATGTGCGTAGACCAGAAAGTAAGCCAATAAAGACAGTGAGTAAAGCTACTCTTATATGCACATACAGAAGTGTTATGCTTCAGCATTATTCTTTTGCTTTTTGAATCTCAGCAATCCAAATAAAGCGGAGATGTTAACACCGAGCTTGGAAAACCTAAAGTTAAGATACATGTTCAGCTTTGGTTCAGACTCTTTACAAATGGGCCTGACCAAAGGTGGGCCACTGTTCTGCTGTGTAGAAGAGGGAAAACCAGTGGGATTTGGAATGATAAAAATACAGGTGCTCAAGGAAAACAGCCCAAGCAGTTGGCAATCATTAGCTGCTTCCATTTAATGAGAAACTGACCAGTCTTAGTAGCATGAAATGCTGAGTACACGCCTGACTTCCAGTTCCAGTGAGTTCCTGACCATGTTTGCCTGATGGGTTTGTTGACCAGGATGGCCTCAACGGAGCTACTTGTACATTTAAAGCTAAGTGCTTTGTTTTACGGGGAGTTTAATGTCTGCAGACAAAGTTGTAAACTCTATAGTTTCTAGTCAAACTATCCCTACTTAGCAGAGATGGAAAAAGCTTCCGTCTCCTAAAATGTAAACGTGTACTAAATTTCCACACACTTCAATGCCATACAACCTGCCATAGAATTGTCTAATTCATTCAAAAAAGCATTGCTGTTCAAAACTCCACGTCATGTCAAACAACTCTTAAAAAGTGTTTTTATCATATATATTTAATTCATGCTGTATTTACATGTTGCCCAGCTGACACAGCTGTGAGGAAAGGGCTATTCCCAGAAATGCTAGACTGACAGTCAACAGTATTCTAGTAAGAAAATAATGGTATATGTAAATAGTAGGGTGGTCAGTGGGGCTAGGAAAGAGGTTAACTACAAATCTTGGCATGGTATTGAAGCAGGATGGGAAAGTTGATTTTTGTCTTTGCTATCAATGCTGACAATTTCTAACGTTTCTTCCCTTTGTAAAAAGAAGGTCACTTTAAGTACCAAGCCTCATATTCAGGGGCAATGTGGCATGTCATTGGGTTTATGCAGTGCACGCTGTTCCACACTACAAGGCTTCTAATGCTCATGGCATAAACAAAGTCTGTAATATGAAAGACTGTACTTACACAATAGAGTGTGTGTTTGGTGGCTTCTGACCATAGTACGTGTATGGAGCTGTTAGGCCACATAGCTGACATGTGAACTCTCCTGTAGGCCGAACTTCTTTGGGAGTATCCATCTTTAAGCTACCTACAAGAAAATACAAAAATCTTTCAGCTCCAAAATGTGTACTGGGAACATACTTGCAAAAAGATTAAACTGATGTGGGACATCTGGCTATGCAAATTAAAATCCAATGGAAAACTGACTACTGCAAACCTTGATTAGTAAACTTTTTCCCCCAAATCAATTTGGTTTCCCATGTCCCAGTTAAATTTCCAAATTCCTTAGACAGGTTTAGAAATTGCAGCCAGGGAGCCTAACTATAAATTTCACCTATTAATTTGGAACTTGATCCATAAAAGAATTTAGGTAAAAAGTATATGGCTGTGATCTGGAAGACCCTTTGCTCAACCTAGGCCTAAGCTCCCTAAGCAATTCCCAAGAAACAACTCCTTATCTGCTGTGCAGAATCCCAATCCAGCTCTGCACTGCCTATCTCGTCCCACAAACGGAGCCATGAAAGGGTTTGGGACCCCGCTCAGGAGGCAGGTACCAGAAAGGTCAGTGTTGCAATGATTTACTATGCCTTTTTCTTTGCTTCTGGTTCACCTCTTAATAGAATTTTGGGAGCTTAACCCTGGCTCCCTGTTCTTATCTGGCTACCTATGGAAATGAGGCTGATGTAATCACCCTCTGCCTAGATAGAGTGTCGGCCCATTCAAGCCACACAGGACAGAGGAGGAGGTACCTTCAAAATAGCTTAGGCCCTATAGCTTCTATGAAAATAGGCAGAAGAGAGAGACTCTGCTTTATCCTCATGGAGGATACCCATATATTTTTACAAATCAGAGAATCTGCACATGGGAAAGCTATTGTCTATCTGTCTGAAAGATTTTAGACACCCATTACAAAGGTGTAGCTATCAGTTATGAGATATGAAATGCAGGAAGCCATGCTTCATCAGCTTTGGTGCTTAAAAGATGACTTGTTTAAAATCTTGGCCATTGATTTACATTTGTGAGCTTATCCTTCACTGGTACCACTTTATCTGAGAGTAAGACACCGAGTTTTTTCAAAAAGCATGGTGTGGCAAATATGCTTTTAGGACTGATTTTGGTATGTATGATCAGATCAAACACAGCTAACCAGGTGCAGTTTTTGGGGATGCACAAATTCATGAATGAAATGTGATGGTTTGTTTGCAAATTGGTTATCTTCTCTCACCTGCACCATTTTCTCTAATAAACACATTCACCTTGCAGTTAGCAAGAAAACTCAAGCTTCTAGATAAAAGGCCTCACACTTTTCATGACATACAGTTTTCTGCTGCAAGCCTGTCGCCTGTCACCTTTCTTAAGTGAAGCAGAGGTGGCATTAAGCTGTTAGGAAGGTGAGCACTAGGAACTCTGATTTGGGCAGTATCTCAGCCGTTAGGCTGTGTGTGCTCACAGCTGAGCAGACATACATCCTGCCAAAGGACAGTCGGTCCTTCCCACTCTTCCAGCTTTGCAGCCATACCCTTCCCCTGCGGGGCTGATTTGGTTCACTAAGGCCATGTCTCTATTTATGTTTTAGCTCAGCTCAGGGGTTTTCTTTGGGAGCAAGTTGCCTGACTGTCCTCCCTTACCCCACTTGGTTTGCATTGTGGAGCAGTCTTAAATTACACAAACCTGTCAGTGTCAGATGAAACTAAACTGAAAGATGTGCTCCAGAGGCACAGCAAATACACTCCAACCTGAATGCCCAACTAATGGCCATTCTGTCTACAGGCTAGGACTAGAGCTAGTCTGAAACATCCTCAGACAATGGGCAGCTGGTAGCCAACATCAAACACCTTAGTCTATGGTTTCACTCTTACTGCATCACAGTAGTTACTAATGTGGTAACAAATAAAAGAACCACCTCCTCCTCTCTTCCCCCCCACCCCTGCGTTCTGGTTTTAGGGAACTAAATTGGTTTGCAGAGGAATCTGACAACTGCTAATAGTAGTACAAGGTAAGACGCAAAACTGCACAGTCAGGAGAAAGGGAGGGCTGAGATGAGGGACCTGTATTTCCCCCTTTCAATGACAGTAAGCTGCTATTTCTGCTCACCCTATGTGGTGAAACTGAATCCTTAGAGACATATGCTGCTAAGGTGAATTAGGGGCAAGGTGAAGCAGAGCTGTGACTACTTGTCATCTAATGTTCCAGAAGAACAGGGAGCCCCAAGATCCTCAGAGGTTACAGAGGCTTCATAACATACACACAGTTTAGAAAGTCTTAGCCTGTTAAACCCTGAAACTTAATTTTGGGAATAATCTCCATTACCCCATCATGCCTTCACCACCAGCCTTTCCAATGCCATTCTTGGCATTCCAGTAGTACAGGGAGTTCTTAAAACTTAACGCAAATGGCGCTAGGTACTGGTTTAATAAATAAATCCAACTTGTGAATACCTCAGGCAACTACATTTTTTTCCAAAAGTGATGTAACCCTTGGATATCGTGTATTTTCCCTACCTCACAGGGATGCTTGAGAGAATTTAATTAACTGAAGTGCTTTTCAGATTTTTCAGTTAGATATAAGGCATGTACATGCTACCTATTTCTCCCTGTATATTAAAACTGGGATTTTTCAAATTACACACAAACTCAACTAAGAAGTCTGCTTTTTGAACCTCCCATTTTAGGTTTACCAGATAAGACCCCCAAACATACCTAAACATACCTTCTCTGTAGGTAGTCAGTAGCGACACCAAGACACCCACCTGTGTGAATGAGAACGTGAATGTGTCCCAATCATAGAATGGTTTAGGTTGGAAAGGACCAAATTGCATTGTATGCAGTTTTTTAAAATCAATCTTTTTTTAAAAGGGAAAATAATTAACTCCACAAAGGTAGAGTACAGAAAGTCACTTGAATCAAATACAGAAGACCCTCATGGTGATCTTTTCTTTAAAATAAAGCAAATAACTAAGAACAACAAAAAAAGGAGTATTTATGGCAGTGAAGATCATAGACTTTGGAATGAATGTGTCCTGATTCCAAGTCAAAATAACAGCCCTGGGTTCAGAGCTGAAGTACGTTAGATATAGAAACACCTGCTCTCTTACAGACCATTGGTATGTAGAACAGAATCTGTTCAGTGACTACCACTGGGAAGGAATGATATCTATGTACAAGCAGATTTTTGGCTATGCCAGTTGAAAAGCATATGATCCTGCCTGCAAGGCACAGATGAATTTATGATGCCTTCCATTTTACTCCCAGCTTACAAGTCACTGGTATCAGCTGTACCAAGTTTTATTTCACCGGGAACATCATTTGCCCTGAGAGTTTGTCTACACAGCAGCACTTGGGAGAGTTAAGGTCACTAACTCAAGGTGTGAAGTTAGCAAGCGTACAGATTTCAGAGTGAATGCTCCCATTCAGAAGTTTGCTATATAACAAAGTAAAGCCATTTTCTTTCTGAAGAAAGAAGTCTAATGGCAGATGTATAAGCTTTTAGTTTATGCGTGTGCTTCACACCTTTAGTCTAAACCACCAAGCAGACAAGTCCCAAGATGCACTCTCTCACAAAGCTTCTGGTACTTCCAAAAAGCTTGTCTGCAATTAAAGGAAATGCATCTTTATGTCAGATAGTAAATGCACAGAAGCAATTCTGGGATAAAACCACAGTCAAGACAGACATTGGTTTACACAAAGTAAGCTAATTGGTTTGGCCCTATACGCCATCTTAGCAAGATGCCCGATATGACAACTATGACAAGGTGTCTGCCCCCCCTCCAAGCAGACATATGAAGCATGAATGGCAACTCATTTTTCTCTAGCATACCAACAATAGGATGAAGGATCTCTTGAGGAGATAAAAGTCTAGGGCACTAATCCCTTCATAACCATTACAGGCAAATTTGTGACCTCAAGTGACTCAAATCATCACCAGTGCTAACACTGGCTTTTTCTCTTCTCCTTGAAAATATTTGAAGCATCACCATGTCCCTGTAACAAGTCAAATATCTGGCAGGCTGGTACGTACTGAAGAAGTCTTTTAGAACAGCTTGTTTGGAACTGAATTCTGCCCAAGCGTTTGCCATTTTGGCTGGAAGCTGCAAGGTACTTAAACACACACTTACTTTAAGCACATGCATAGCTCTTCTGAAAAGAACACGGCTACCCACACATGCTTGATTACGAAGCAAACACTGAACCAGCACGCTCAGCAGAAACCTGCCAAGTCAAGCCCAGAATGCTGCAGGACGTGTGTGCGGATGGCCCACGTGTCATGGTAAAAGGTAAAGCACACAGATTTGCATGCCATACTAAGGAAATAATCGCAGTAGAAGAAAGGTGCAGGTTAGATAGCAGTGCTATAAGAGTGTTTCTCCATGCTGTGACTGATAGATGATATGGATGTGGGGAAATGGCTCTCAGTGCAGTTCTCTAGGGACTCCTAAAAACTTCAGGGCAGTTCTACTCGAAGCATTCTGCTAACAGGCCTGGAAGGCATGCCAGAAATAATAAATCACCATTAAATTGTCAGGGTCAGTGGCAAAGTAGTGACACAGATAAGTAATCTGATTTTCTTTGCTTCAAACCTCATTAGCACAAGTCTTTACAATGCATAGGTTAAGCCCCTCTTAATACTCCACAGGAGACTCATGTATTTCTGAGTCACTGATAAACTAGAGAAACTATACAAGAAACATACTGCCTAGAAACAGACGCAGACTTTGATTTGAAAGGGTGTCAGATAAAACCAACATTGACACACCTTTAATCCTCTCCAATTAAACCCTTGTTTCTTTTTCCTGCCAAGATTTTCCTGCAGTATCCACTGTTGATGACGATGACCTATTAAAATATTCACAGCTTGATTCTCTATGGGAAGGAATGCTCTCTAATAGGAGGGTAAGAGCCACTGAGTTCATAGCCTGGCAAATGCCAAGTTATTTTGCACTGTTTGGTGTAATATAAATTTAAATACACTTCAGGACCAGGAATGCACTCACCTCCTTCAGAAAAGCGATCTGTGGCCTAATTGCTCAGGTAAGAGATGAAACAGCAGAACTTTCTTACTTGCTAGTTAATCCCCAGCT